TGTACTGTTTGAGGGGCATGTGTGTGTGTGTGTGTGTGTGTGTGTGTATGTGTGTGTACTGTTTGAGGGGCATGTGTGTGTGTGTACTGTTTGAGGGACGTGTGTGTGTGCGCATGTGTGTGTGTGTGTGTGTGTGTGTGTGTGTGTGTGTGTGTGTGTGTGTGTGTGTGTGTGTGTGTGTGTGTGTGTGTATCTAACCATAATCTCTATCTCTTCATCAGCTTCTGTTGAGTGGTGAACCGGGCTACCATGTATAATCCCAGCTAACAGAAACGTTTCCACAACTTTAGAGAACGTTCCCTTCAGAGTCTCATTAGGTCATTAACTATCGTTTTCATAGGAACGTTCCCGTGACGTGCGAGGAACGTTTCCAAGAGAACGTTCCCTTAACGTCAAATAGAACTTACCCAGAACGTGGTTACCGTGTTCTCAGAATTTAAGATATTAATGTTCTAGACACGTTTCATGGCAACATTAATATCTTATGTTCTGAGAACATGGCAACCATGTTCTGTGTATGTTTCAAATCAAATCAAATTTTATTGGCCACATGCGCCGAATACAACAGGTGCAGACATTACAGTGAAATGCTTACTTACAGCCCTTAACCAACAGTGCATTTATTTTAAACAAAAAAGTAAAAATAAAACAACAACAAAAAAAGTGTTGAGAAAAAAAGAGCAGAAGTAAAATTAAATAACAGTAGGGAGGCTATATATACAGGGGGGTACCGGTGCAGAGTCAATGTGCGGGGGCACCGGCTAGTTGAGGTAGTTGAGGTAATATGTACATGTGGGTAGAGTTAAAGTGACTATGCATAAATAATTAACAGAGTAGCAGCAGCGTAAAAGGATGGGGTGGGGGGGCAGTGCAAATAGTCCGGGTAGCCATGATTAGCTGTTCAGGAGTCTTATGGCTTGGGGGTAGAAGCTGTTGAGAAGTCTTTTGGACCTAGACTTGGCACTCCGGTACCGCTTGCCGTGCGGTAGCAGAGAGAACAGTCTATGACTAGGGTGGCTGGAGTCTTTGACAATTTTGAGGGCCTTCCTCTGACACCGCCTGGTATAGAGGTCCTGGATGGCAGGAAGCTTGGCCCCAGTGATGTACTGGGCCGTACGCACTACCCTCTGTAGTGCCTTGCGGTCGGAGGCCAAGCAGTTGCCATACCAGGCGGTGATGCAACCAGTCAGGATGCTCTCGATGGTGCAGCTGTATAATTTTTTGAGGATCTGAGGACCCATGCCAAATCTTTTCAGTCTCCTGAGGGGGAATAGGCTTTGTCGTGCCCTCTTCACGACTGTCTTGGTGTGTTTGGACCATGATAGTTCGTTGGTGATGTGGACACCAAGGAACTTGAAGCTCTCAGCCTGTTCCACTACAGCCCCGTCGATGAGAATGGGGGCGTGCTCAGTCCTCTTTTTTTTCCTGTAGTCCACAATCATCTCCTTTGTCTTGATCACGTTGAGGGAGAGGTTGTTATCCTGGCACCACACGGCCAGGTCTCTGACCTCGTCCCTATAGGCTGTCTCATCGTTGTCGGTGATCAGGCCTACCACTGTTGTGTCGTCGGCAAACTTAATGATGGTGTTGGAGTCGTGCCTGGCCATGCAGTCATGGGTGAACAGGGAGTACAGGAGGGGACTGAGCACGCACCCCTGAGGGGCCCCCGTGTTGAGGATCAGTGTGGCAGATGTGTTGTTACCTACCCTTACCACCTGGGGGCGGCCCGTCAGGAAGTCCAGGATCCAGTTGCAGAGGGAGGTGTTTAGTCCCAGGATCCTTAGCTCAGTGATGAGCTTTGAGGGCACTATGGTGTTGAATGCTGAGCTGTAGTCAATGAATAGCATTCTCACGTAGGTGTTCCTCTTGTCCAAGTGGGAAAGGGCAGTGTGAAGTGCAATAGAGATTGCATCATCTGTGGATCTGTTGGGGCGGTGTGCAAATTGGAGTGGGTCTAGGGTTTCTGGGATAATGCTGTTGATGTGAGCCATGACCAGCCTTTCAAAGCACTTCATGGCTACAGACGTCAGTGCTACGGGACGGTGATGGAATATTCTCCTAACCCCTTGAAAACTGGACACATGAATGTTCTTGCAATGTCTCATGAAACATGTCTAGAATATTAATATTGAATATTCTGAGAACATGGAAACCACGTTCTGGGTTATGATCTGTTTGACATTAAGGGAATGTTCTCCTAACTCTAACATAGATAGAATGTTCCCAAAACTAGCAGGAAACTGAACACTCAAACATTAGGGGAACATTACTGGTAACATTGCAAAAATGTTCTCTCTCCGTAGAATTGTTAGCTGGGATGTTGTTCTACGGCGTTATGATGTCCCCTTAAGTGGGTGTTGTGTTAGAGAGTAATGCGTAACCTGTATCTCTCCGTCAGCTGTTAAGTCCCCTGGCTGCCATCCATTCATGATGTCGTTCTATGGTGTTAACATGGTGCCCAGAATCATTAACGCTTGATGTACTGAAGGTTCAAAGGTCATCGCTTCATCTGCCTGTCAAATCACAAACAACAACAAACATCCTGCATTCCAGTCACCCATCCAGTCACCCATCCATTCATACAAACAAAGTTCCTTTCTAAGATCGATTGGGAAAGCATTAGATGTATCTTCACCCCCCCCGCATCCCTCCCTCCCCGCTCGCCTCCCCCACTCCCTCCCTCCCCCCCCCTCTCCCCCTCCCTCCTCCCTCCCTCCCTCCCCGCCTCCCTCCCCCCTCTCCCCCCCCTCTCTCCCCCCCTCTCTCCGCCCCTCTCCCTCCCTCTCTCCTCCCTCCCCCCCCCTCTCCCCCCCCCCCCCCCCCCCACTCACTCCCTCCCTCCCCACCCCCCCCCCCCCCTCCCTCCCCCCTCCCTCTCTCCCTCCCCCCAGGTTGAGGACAGTTCTCTAGAGTGTGCTTGGTGCCCCCCCCTCCCGGAACTCATCTCTGGCAAGGCAGACAACACCTGTCCGTGTCCCGCAGAGTATGTCGAGGTACGGAGGGGTGTGTGTGTGTGTGTGTGTGTGTGTGTGTGTGTGTGTATGTATGTGTGTGTGTGTGTGTGTGTGTGTGTGTGTATGTGGGAGGTGTGTGTCCTGCAGAATAAATGAAAGTATGGAGGTGTATTCTCAGAGTGTCTGATATAGATGACTGTGTGAGGTGTGTGTGTGTTGTGTGTCCCACCTGTGTTGCCGTAGCTCATCAGAAGGTGTCGGTCTCATAACCCTGTCCACCGGCCCACCTTCGAGCAGATCAGGAAGTTCGTCTACCGGATCAACCCCAATAAAGTTAGCCCTGTGGACATGATGATGAACCTGGTAGGACCTAGAAGCAACATTACGGCAACATTTACACAACTTTAAAACAATCTTCACACAATTATACAACAGCCTTCACACATCATTACAATAACCAACCAGCAACATTTACACAAACATTACAACAACCTTCACAGAACTTTACAAAGACGTTCGCACAACCCAGTAGCAACCTTCTCAAAAGTTACCGTAAACTTCATACAACGTCACAACAAACTAACCCCAACCATGAAACAACCCTTTCAGCCCTTGATAAGACACATTTTGTTCTGTGTGTGTGTGTGTGTGTGTGTGTGTGTGTGTGTGTGTGTGTGTGTGTATATGAGTGTGTGTGTGTGTGTGTGTGTGTGTGTGTGTGTGTGTGTGTGTGTGTGTGTGTGTGTGTGTGTGTGTGTGTGTGTGTGTGTGTGTGTGTGTGTGTGTGTGTGTGTAGATGGAGAAATACAGTAAGCACCTGGAGGTCCTGGTAGCAGAGAGGACCCAGGACCTAATGCATGAGAAACAGAAGACTGACCGACTGCTCTACAGTACGGACGCCATCTTGGATCTAATCCTTAATTTTCCCTATGAAGGAAGGGGGGGGGGGTTTGGGGGGGGTGTGTGTGGGGGGTGGTTTTTTTTGGGGGGTGTTGTTGTTGTGGGGGGGGTTTTTTTTGGGTTAAAAGGGGTTTGGGGGTTTTTAAAAAAAAGGGGGGTTTTTTTTGGGGGGTTTTTTTTTTGTGTTGGGGGTTTTTTTGGGTTTTAAAAAGGGTTCCTAACCCGGAAAGGCCCCCAAAAAAGGGGGGGCCCCCGGGAAAAAAAAAGGTTTTGGGGCAACCCAAAAAAAACCCTTGGGGGAAGGGGAAAAAAGGCCCCAAAAAAAAAAAAAAAACCCCCTTTTTTAAAAACCCCCCCAAAAAATTTTTTTTTTAAAAAAAAAAAACCCCCCCAAAAAAAAAAAAAACAAAAACAAAAAAAAAAAACCCCCCCCCAAAAACCCCCCCAAAAAAAAAATTAAAAACAAAAAAAAAAACCCCAAACCCCAAAAAAACCCCTTTAGCCCTTGATAAGACACCTTTTTTTGGGGGTGTGTGGGGGGGGGGGTTTTTTGGGGGGGGGGGGGGAAAAAGGGGTGGGGGTGTGGGGGGGGGTGTGTGGGTGTGTGTGTGGGTGGGTGTTTTTTTTTGTGTGGGGGTGTTTTTAAAAAAAAAAGGGGGGGCCGGAAAAAAGGGCCCAAGGGGGAAAAAAAAAAACCCCCACCTCCCCCGGTTTTTTTAATTTTTTTTTTCCCCCCGGGGGGGGGGTTTTTTTTTTTTTTTGGTTAAAAAAGGGGGGTTTTGGGGGGTGTGTGGGTGGGGGGGGGGGTTTTTTTTTTTGGGGTGTGGGGGGTTTTTTTTGGGTTTTTGGTGTGTGTGTGTTGGGGTGGGGTTTTGTGGGGGGGGGGGGGGGGGGTGTGGGTGTGTGTTGGGGTTTTTGGGGGGGGGTGTGTGTTTTTGGGGGGGGGGGTGTGTTTGGGTTTTTGTGTGTGTTTTTTTTTGGGGGGGGGGGGGTTTTTTGGGGGGTGGGGGTGGGGGGGGGGGGGTTTTTTTTTTTTTTTTGGTGGGTGTGTGTGTGGTGGTTGGGGGGGGGGGGAAGGGGGGGGGGGGGGTGGTGTGGGTTTTTTTGGGGGGGGGGTGGGGTGGGGTGGTTTTTTTGGGGGGGGGGGGGGGGGTGTGGTGTGGTGTGTGTGTGGGGGGGTGTGGTGTTTGGGGGTGTTGGTGTTGATTTTGTGGGTGGGTGGGTTGGGGTTGGGGGGGGTTTTTTTTTTTTGGGGGGGGGGGGGGGGGGGTGGGTGTTGGGGGGGGGGGTGGGTTTTGGGGGTGTGTGTGTGTGTGTGTGTGGGGGGGGGGTTTTTTTTTTTTTTTTTTGGGGGGGGGGGGGGGTGTGGGGGTGTGGGGGGGGGGGTTTTGTGTGTGTGTGGGGTGTGGGGGGTGTGGGGGTGTGTGTGTGGGGGTGTGTGTTTTGGGGGGTGTGGGGGGGGGTTTTTTTTTGGGGGGGGGTTTTTTGGGTTTTTGGGGGGGGGGGGGGGGGGTGGGTGTTGGTGGGTGTGTGGGTGTTTTGGGGGGTGTGTGTGTGGGGGGGGGGGGGGGGGGGGGGTTTTGGGGGGTTTTTTTTTTTTTGGGGGGGGGGGTGTGTGTGTGTTGGGGTGTGTGTGGGTGTGTGTTTTTGGGGGGTTTTGGGGGGTGTGTGGGGGGGGTTTTTGGGGTTTTTGGGGGGGGGGGGTGGGGGGGGTTTTTTTTTTGTTTTTTTTTTTTTGGGGGGGGGGGGGGGGGGGTTTTTTTTGTGTGGGGGTGTGTGTGTGTTTTTTTGGGGGGGGGGGGTTTTGGGTGTGTTTTGGGTGTGGGGGGGGGTGTGTGTGGGGGGGGGGGTTTTTTTTTGTGTGTGGGGTGGGGTGTGGGGTGTGGGGTTTGGGGGGGTTTTTGGGGGGGGGGGGGTGTGTGTGTGGTGGGGGGTGGTGGGTGTGTGTGTGGGGGGTGTGTGTGGGGGTTGGTTTGGGGGGGGTTGGGGAAAAAGGGGCCGGGCCAAAAAGGGAAAAAATTGGGGGGGGGGGAAAGGGGGGGGGGGAGGGGGGGGGGGGGGGGGGGGGGGGGAAAAAAAAAAGGGGGGGGGGGGGGGGGGGGGGGGGAAAAGGGGGGGAAAAAGGGGGGGGGGGGGGGGGAAAGAGGGGAGAGAGAGGGGGGGGGGGGGGGGGGGGAGAAAGGGGGGGGAGGGGGGGGGGGGGGAGGGGGGGGGGGGGGAGGGGGGGGGGGGGGGGGAGAAGGGAGGGGGAGGGGGGGGGGGAGGGGGGGGGGGGGGGGGGAAAAAGGGGGGGGGGGGGAAGGGGGGGGGGGGGAAGGGAGGGGGGGGGGGAAGGGGGGGGGGGGGGGGAGGGGGGGGGAGGAAAAGGGGGGGGGGGGACCGAGGGGGGGGGGGGGGAGGGGAGAAGGGGGGGGGGGGGGGAGGGGGGGGGGGGGGGGGGGGGGGGGGGGGGGGGGGGGGGGGGGGGGGGGGGGGGGGGGGGGGGAAAAAAGGGGGGGGGGGGGCCCCGGGGGGGGGAAATTTCCCCCCCAAAAAACCCAAGCGATTTTGGGGGGGGGGGAGTACCCCCCCCTCACCCGGCCCCCCCCGGGGGGGGGGGAACGCGACGGGAAGGGGGGGGGGGGGGGGGGGCCCCCGGGGGGGGGGGCCCCCGGCCCAAAAAAAAACCCCGGGGGGGGGAAAAAAAAAGGGGGGCGGGAAAAGGGGGGGGGGGCCCCCAAAAAGAAACCCCCCCCCCCGGGGGGGCCCCCGGCCCCCCGGGGGGGCCCCAAAGGGGCCCCGAAGGGGGGGAAAAAAAAAAAACCCCCCCCCCCCCCCGGGGGGCCCCCCCCCGGGGGGGGGGGCGGCCCCCCCGGGCCCCCCGGGGAAGGGGCCCCGACGGGGGCGACCCGGGGGGGAAACCCCCGGGGGCCCAAAGCGACCGGGCGCCCGGGGACCCGGGGGGCCCGGGGGGCCCCCCGGGGGGGACCGGGGGGGCCCCCCCGGGAACCCCGGGCCCCCCCCCGGGGGGGGGAAAGGGGGGGCCCCCCCCCGGGGGGGGGGGGGGCCCCCCCCCGGGGCCCCCCCGAAAAAAGCGACCGGGGGGAAAGCGACCGGGGGGGCGACCCCCCCCCGCGGGGGGCCCCGGGGGGCCCCAAAAAGGGCGCGACCCCCCCCGGCCCCCGAAAAGGGGGGGGGGGGGGGGGCCCCCCCCGGCCCCCCCGGGAAAGCGACGCGGGGCCCCCCCGGGCCCCCCGGGGGGGGGGGGGGCCCCCCCCCGGGGGGGGGGGCCCCGACGCGAAAACCGGGGGGGCCCCCCCGGGGGGGGGGCGGAAAGCGAAACGCGAAGGGGGGGGGCCCCCCCCCCGGCGGCGCGCGGGGCCCCCGGGGGCCCCCGGGGGGGGGGAAAGGGGCCCCGGGGGCCCCCCGGGGGCGCGACCGGGCGAGGGGAAAGACGCGGGGACGGGGGGCCCCCGGCGGCCCCGGGGCCCCGGGCCCCCAAAAAGGGGAAGGGGGGGGCCCCCCCCCCGGGGAAACCCCCCCCCGGGCCCCCCCCGGGGGGGGGGGCCCCCCCCCGACGGGGACCCCCGGCCCCCGGGGGGGGGAAAAAGCGACGGGGGGAAAAGAACCGGGCCCCCGGACGGGGGGCCCCCCCCCGGGCCCCCCCGGGGGGGGGGGGCCCCGGGGCCCCCCCCCGGGGCCCCCCCCGGGCCCGGCCCCCGGGGGGGCCCCCCGACCCCGGGGGGGGCCCCCCGGGGCCCCCCCGGGGGCGCGGACGCGGACGCGGGGGAAAAGGGGCCCCCGGGGGGGGGAAACCCGGAAGGGGCGGGAAAAGGGGCGCGGGGGGCCCCCCCAAAAGGGCGCGGGGGGGAAGGGGGCCCCCCAAGGGCCCCCCGGCCCCCCCCCCGGGCCCCCCGGGGGGCCCCCCGGCCCCGACCGGCCCCGGGGGGGGGGGGCCCCCCGGGGGCCCCCCCCCCCGGGGGCGCGACGGGAAAAAAACGGGGGGAAAAAAACCCCAAAAGGCCCCCGGGCGGGGGGCCCAAGGGGGGGGGCCCCCCGGGGGGGGGGGCCCCCGGGGGGGCCCCCCCCCCCCCCCGGGGGGGCGGGAAAAACCCCCCCCCCCCCCGGGCCCCCCCCCGGGGGGGGGGGAAAAAGCGGCGCAAAGGGCCCCCCGGGCGAAAGGGCCCCCCCGGGGGGGGACCCGGGGCGCGACGGGCCCCCAAAAGCGGGACGGGGGCCCCCCCGGGGGCCCCGGGGGGGGGGGCCCCCCCCCCGGGGGCCGGGGGCCCCGGGGGGGGGGAAGGGGGGGGGCCCCCCGAAAGGGCCCCCGGCCCCCCCGGCCCCGGGGGCCCCCCCGGGGGGAGGGGCCCCGGGCGCGACGGAAAAAAACCCCCCCCCCCCCCCCCGGGGCCCCCCCCCGGGGGGGGGGGCCCGGGGGGGGGCCCCCCCCGGGCCCCGGGGCCCCCCGGGGCCCCCCCCCCGGGGCCCCCCCGGGGGCCCCCCGGGGGGGGGGGACCCCGGGGGGGGCGGGGAAAAACCCCCCCCCCCCCCCGGAAGGGGAAAGGGGCGGGGGAAAAGGGGCCCACGCGACGCGAAACCCCCCCGGGGGGAAACCCCGGGGCCCCCCCGGGGGACCCGGCCCCCCCGGGGGGGGGGGGCGGCCCCGGGGCCCCCGGGGGCCCCCGACGCGGGGGGGGACCCCCGGGGGGGCCCGGGGCGCGACCCCGCGACCCCGGGCCCCCCCCCCCCGGGGGGGGGGGCCCCGGGGGGGGGGAGGGGGGGGGGCCCCCCCCGGGGGGGGGGGAAACCCCCGGGGGGAAGGGGCGGGGACCCGGGGGGGCCGGGGGGGGCCCCCCGGGCCCCCGGAAGGGGGGGGGGGGGGGGGCCCCCCCGGGGGGGGGGCCCCCCCCGGGCGGACCCCGGGGGGGACCCGGGGGAAAACCCCCCCGGGGGGGGGCCCCGGCCCCCCCCAAAACGGCCCCCAAAAAACCCCCCGGGGGCCCCCGGGCCCCCCGGGGGGGGGGACGCCGGGGGGGCCCCAACCCCGGCCCCCGGAAAAGGGGGGCCCCCGGGGGACGAGGGCCGGGGGGGGGGAAGGGGGGGCCCCCCCCGGGGCCCGGGCGGGGAAAGCACGCGACCCGGGGGGCCCCCCCCCGGGCCCCCCGGGGGCCCCCAACCCACCCCCGGGCCCCCCCCCCAAAACCGGCCCCCTTTTTTTTTCCCCCCCCCCCCCCCCCCCCCCCAAAAAAAAAAGGGGGCCCCCCTTTTCCCCCAAAAAAATTTTTTCCCCCCCCACCCCAAAACCAAATTTCCGGGGGGGCCCCCCCCCCCCCCCAAAAATTAAAAACCCCCCCCCCCCAACCTTTCCCCCCCCCTTTCCCCCCCCCCCCAAAAATTTTTCCACCCCCAAAAAAGGGGAAAAAAACGCGACGCCCGGGCGAACCCCGGGGCCCCCCCCGGGGGGGGGGGCCCCCCCGGGGGGCCCCCCGGGCCCCGAAGCGAAAACCCCCCCAAAAAGGGGGGGCCCCGGAAACCCCCGGGGGGGGGGGCGGGGGGCCCCCCCCCCCGGGGAAAAACCCCCGGGGGGAAAAAAAAAAAGGGAAAAAAAAAACGGGCCCCGGGGGGGGGGGCGGGACGCGGGCGAGGGCGCGAAGGGGGGAACCGGGGGGCCCCCCCCGGCCCCCCCGCGGCCCCGACGGGGGGGGGGGGAAAACCCCCCCGGGGGGGGGGGCCCCCCCCCGGGCGGGGGGCCCCGACGGGGGCCCCCCCCCAAGGGGCGCGGCCCCCCGCGAAACCCCGGGGGGGCCCAACCCCCCGGGGGGGGGGCCCCCCGGCGGGGCGGAACCCCGGGCGACGCGGGGGGGGGGGCGACGCGAACCCCCCCCCCCGGGGCCCCCCCCGGGGGGGGGGGGCCCCAAACCGGGGGAAAAGGGGGCCCCCCCCGGCCCCCGCGGCGGGGGCCCCCCCCCAGGGGACGGAAGGCGGGGCCCCCCGGGGGGGGGGGACGGGGCCGGGGGCGGACCGGGGGCCCCCCCGGCCCCGGGGGGACCAAGGGCCCCGGGCCCCCGGGGGGGGGGCCCCCCCCCGGGGGGGGCCCCCCCAAAATTTTTTCCCCCCCCCCAAAAAAAAAAAACCCCCCCCCCACCCAAAACCCACCTTTCCCCCCCCCACCCACCACCCCCCCCCTTTCCACTTCCCCACCCCCCCAAAAAAACCCCCACCCCCCCCCCCCCCCCCCAAAAACCCACCACCACCACTTTCCCCCCTTCCCCCCCCCCCCCCCCCCAAAAAACCCCCCTTACCAAACCCCCCAAACCCCCCCCCCCCCCCCCCCCCCAAAACCCCCCCTTTTTTTTTAAAAACCCCCCCCCCTTTCCCCTTTTTTTTTTTCCCCCCCCCCTTTCCCCCCCCCAAAATCCCCCCCCCTTTTTCTTTTTCCCCCCCCTTTTAAAAAACCCCCCTTTTCCCCTTTACCTTTTTTACCCCCCCAAAAAAAACTTTAAATTTTTCCTTTAAATCTTCCCCCCTTTTTTTTTCCCCCCCACCCAATTCCCTTTTTTTTTTTTTTATTTTTTTTTTTTTTTCCGGGTTTTTTTGGGGGGTTTTTGGCCGGGGGGGGGTTGGGGTTTTTGTTGTTTGGGGTTTTTTGGGGTTTTTTTGGGGGGGGGGTTTTGGGGCCCTTGGTTAAAGGTTGGGGGGTTTTTTTTTAAATTTTCCCCCGGGGTTTTTTTAAAAAAACCCCAAAAAAAAATTTTTTAAAAAAAAAAAAAGGGGGGGGTTTTTTGGGTTTTTTTTTTTGGGGGGGGGGTTTTTTTTGGGGGAAAAAAGGGGAAATTTTGGGGGGGGGGAAAAAAGGGGGGGGGGTTAGGGGGTTTTGGGTTTTTGGGGGGGGGGGGGGTTTTTTTTTTAAAAAAAAAAACCCCCCCCCCGGGGCCCAGGAAAAATTCCCCAAGGTTTAAAAAAAAAAAAACCCAAAAAACCCCCCCCCCCCCCCCCGGGGGCCCCCCGGGGGGGTTTTTCCCCCTTTGGCCCCCCCAAAAAAAAAAAACCCCCAAAAAAACCCCCCCCCCCCAAAAGGGGGGGGGCCGGGGGGGGGAAAAGGGGGGGAGGCCCCCCCCGGGTGGGGAAAAAAGGGGGTTTTTGGGAAAAAAAGGAAAAAAGGGGGGGGCCCGGGGCCCCAGGAAATTTCCCCGGGGGGTTCCCTAAGGGGGAAAATTCCCCCAAAAAATTTTTTTTTTTTTTAAAAAAAGGGGGGGGTTTTTCCAAAAACCCCCAAAAAATTTTTGGGGAAAAATTTTACCCAAAAAAAAAAAAAGGGGGGAAATTTTTTAAAAAAAAAAAATTTTTTTTAAAAAAAACAGGTTTTTTTTTTTTAAACCCAAAAAAAGGGGGGTTTTAAAAAATTTCCCCTTTTTGGGGGAAAAAAAATGTTTTTTGGGGGGGGGAAGGGGGTTTTGGGTTCCCCCCCCAGGGGGAAAACCCCAAAAAAAATTTTTTTCCCCCCCCCTTTTCCCCCGGGGGGGAAGGGAAAAAATTTTTTTTCCCCCCCCCTTTTTTTTGGGGGGGGGGGGGGAAAAAATTTTGGGGCCCCCCCCAAAAAAAAAAAAAACCCCCCCCTTTCTCCCGGGGGGGGGAAAAAAAAGGGGGGGGGTTTTTTTTTTTTAAAAAAAACCCTGTGGTGTGTGTGTGTGTGTGTCTGTGTGTGTGTGTGTCTGTGTGTGTGTATAGACATGGTGGTATCTGGGGTACCCAGGGTGAACGGGATCCAGCACGCAGCAGAGATCTCCAGCATGGCTTTAGATCTGGTCGGAGTGTGTAGGAGCTTCAGGATACCACACAAACCCAACACACAACTACAGATACGGGCCGGGATACACTCAGGTAACACACATACACACACAGGATTGTACGCACGCACACATACACACACATACATACACATACATACACAACCTCTCCCCCCCCCCCCCCCCTCACTGCAGGTCCAGTGGTAGCCGGTGTGGTCGGGACCAAGATGCCTCGCTACTGTCTGTTTGGAGACACGGTCAACACCTCCTCTAGGATGGAGTCCACCAGCGAGGGTAATCATGCTAAGGAAGTGCATGGCAGTGACGGCAGAAGCTAAGGATGCTAAGGAAGAGTTCCCACAGGGAACGTATGCTCTCTATGGCAGTGACAGTAGATGCTAATGCTAAGGAAGTGTTTTTCCATGGTGACTTTAGATGGTAATGCTAAGGAAGTGTTTCCACAGTGACCATAGCATCTCTATGGCAGTTAGAGTAAATGCTAATGCTAAGGAAGCGCTTCCACAGGAACAATATGATCTCAGAGATGGTTTATTTAAGCAATAAAGCACGAGGGGGTGTGGTATATGGCCAATATACCACAGCAAACAGCCCTTAGCAATGGTATATTGGCCATATACCACAAACCCCTGAGGTGCCTTATTGCTATTATAAACTGGTTACCAACGTAATTAGAGCAGTAAAAATAAATGTTTTGTCATACCCGTGGTATACAGTATGATATACTACGGCTGTCAGCCAATCAGCATTCAGGGCTCAAACCACCCAGTTTCTAAAAGTAAATAGACCATCTCTGACGAGCTTTATCACTGTGACGGTGGAAGCTAATGCTAAGGAAGTGTTTCCACTGGGACCATAGTATATATCTATGGCAGTGACTGTAGAAGCTAATGCTAAGGAAGTGTTTGGTCTCTCTCCCCATACAGCCCTGAAGATCCAGGTCAGCTCCAGTACTTTCTACCTGCTAGAGGAGATAGGAGGATACCTGCTGCAATGTAGAGGGATGCTGCAAGTCAAGGTGTGTTCACCCAGACACACCCACCTCAACCTTTCTGAATGAAGTCAAGGGTTCTGAATACATTCCGAATGCACTGCATTACGTTAAAGCCTTATTCTAAAATGGATTAAATTGTTTTCTTTCCCCCTCCCTCATCTCATCATTTATTAAAAACAAATACAGAGATTTCACATTTACATAAGTATTCAGACCCTTTGCTCAGTATTTGGTTGAAGCACCTTTGGCAGTGATTACAGCCTCGAGTCTTCTTGGGTATGACGCTACAAGCTTGGCACACCTGTATTTGGGGAGTTTCTCCCATTCGTCTCTGCAGATCCTCTCAAGCTCTGTGAGGTTGGATGGGGAGCGTCGCTGCACAGCTATTTTCAGGTCTCTCCAGAGACGTTAGATCAGGTTCAAGTCTGGGCTCTGGCTGGGCCACTCAAGGACATTCAGAGACTTGTCCCGAAGCCACTCCTGCGTTGTCTTGGCTGTGTGCTTAGGGTCGTTGTCCTGTTGGAAGGTGAACCTTCGCCCCAGTCTGAGGTCTTGAGAGCTCTGGAGCAGGTTTTCATCTAGGATCTCTCTGTACTTTGCTCCATTCATCTTTCCCTCAATCCTGACTAGACACCCAGTCCCTGCCGCTGAAAAACCTCCCCACAGCATGATGCTGCTACCACCATGCTTCACCGTAGGGATGGTGCCAGGTTTCCTCCAGACGTGACGCTTGTTATTCAGGCCAAAGAGTTCAATCTTGGTTTCATCAGACCAGAGAATCTTGTTTCTCATGGTCTGAGAGTCCTTTAGGTGCCTTTTGGCAAACTCGAAGCGGGCTGTCATGTGCCTTTTACTGAGGAGTGGCTTCCGTCTGGCCACTCTACCATAAAGGCCTGATTGGTGGAGTACTGCAGAGATGGTTGACCTTCTGGAAGGTTCTCCCATCTCCACAGAGGAACTCTGGAGCTCTGTCAGAGTGACCATCGGGTTCTTGCACAGCCTGGAGGTGTGTTGGGTCATTGTCCTGTTGAAAAACAAATGATAGTCCCACTAAGCGCAAACCAGATGGGATAGCGTATCGCTGCAGAATGCTGTGGTAGCCATGCTGGTTATGTGTGCCTTGAATTCTAAAAAAATCACAGACAGTGTCACCAGCAACGCACCCCCACACCATAACACCTCCTCCTCCATGCTTCACGTGGGAACCACACATGCGGAGATCATCCGTTCACCTACTCTGCGTCTCACAAAGAGATGTCGGTTGGAACCAAAAATCTCAAATTTGGACTCATCATTGCTCGTGTTTCTTGGCCCAAGAAGTCTCTTCTTCTTATTGGTGTCCTTTAGTAGTGGTTTCTTTGCAGCAATTCGACCATGAAGGCCTGATTCACGCAGTCTCCTCTGAACAGTTGATGTGTCTTTTACTTGAACTCTGTGAAGCATTTATTTGGGCTGTAATTTCTGAGGCTGGTAACTCTAATGAACTTATCCTCTGCAGCAGATGTAACTCTGGGTCTTCCTTTCCTGTGACGGTCCTCATGAGAGCCAGTTTCATCGAAACTTTAAAAGTTATTGAAATGTTCCGTATTGACTGACCTTCATGTCTTAAAGTATTGATGGACTGTCGATTCTCTTTGCTTATTTGAGCTGTTCTTGCCATAATATGGACTTTGTCTTTTACCAAATAGGGCTATCTTCTGTATTCCCCCCCTACCTTGTCACAACACAACTGATTGTCTCAAACGCATTAAGAAGGAAAGAAATTCCACAAATTAACTTTTAGCAAGGCACACCTGTTAATTGAAATGCATTCCAGGTTACTACCTCATGAAGCTGGTTGAGAGAATGCCAAAAGTGTGCAAAGCTGTCATCAAGGCAAAGGGTGGCTATTTGAAGAATTTCAAATATAAAATATATTTAGATTTGTTTAACACTTTCTTGATTACTACATGATTCCATATGTGTTATTTCATAGTTTTGATGTCTTCACTATTATTCTACAATGTAGAAAATAGTAAAACAAAACAAAAATACCCTGGAATGAGTAGGTGTGTCCAAACATTTGACTGGTACTGTATATACAGTGGGGAGAACAAGTATTTGATACACTGCTGATTTTGCAGGTTTTCCTACTTACAAAGCATGTAGAGGTCTGTGATTTTTATTTATTTATTATAGGTACACTTCAACTGTGAGAGACGGAATCTAAAACAAAAATCCAGAAAATCACATTGTATGACTTTTAAGTAATGAATTTGCATTTTATTGCAATACATAAGTATTTGATACATCAGAAAAGCAGAACTTAATATTTGGTACAGAAACATTTGTTTGCAATTACAGAGATCATACGTTTCCTGTAGGTCTTGACCATGTTTGCACACACTGCAGCAGGGATTTTGGCCCACTCCTCCATACAGACCTTCTCCAGATCCTTCAGGTTTCGGGGCTGTCGCTGGGCAATACGGACTTTCAGCTCCCTCCAAAGATTTTCTATTGGGTTCAGGTCTGGAGACTGGCTAGGCCACTCCAGGACCTTGAGATGCTTCTTACGGAGCCACTCCTTAGTTGCCCTGGCTGTGTGTTTCGGGTCGTTGTCATGCTGGAAGACCCAGCCACGACCCATCTTCAATGCTCTTACTGAGGGAAGGAGGTTGTTGGCCAAGATCTCGCGATACATGGCCCCATCCATCCTCCCCTCAATACGGTGCAGTCGTCCTGTCCCCTTTGCAGAAAAGCATCCCCAAAGAATGATGTTTCCACCTCCATTCTTCACGGTTGGGATGGTGTTCTTGGGGTTGTACTCATCCATCTTCTTCCTCCAAACACGGCGAGTGGAGTTTAGACCAAAAAGCTCTATTTTTGTCTCATCAGACCACATGACCTTCTCCCATTCCTCCTCTGGATCATCCAGATGGTCATTGGCAAACTTCAGACGGGCCTGGACATGCGCTGGCTTGAGCAGGGGGACCTTGCATGCGCTGCAGGATTTTAATCCATGACGACGTAGTGTGTTACTAATGGTTTCTTTGAGACTGTGGTCCCAGCTCTCTTCAGGTCAGTGACCAGGTCCTGCCGTGTAGTTCTGGGCTGATCCCTCACCTTCCTCATGATCATTGATGCCCCACGAGGTGAGATCTTGCATGGAGCCCCAGACCGAGGGTGATTGACTGTCATCTTGAACTTCTTCCATTTTCTAATAATTGCTCCAACAGTTGTTGCCTTCTCACCAAGCTGCTTACCTATTGTCCTGTAGCCCATCCCAGCCTTGTGCAGGTCTACAATTGTATCCCTGATGTCCTTACACAGCTCTCTGGTCTTGGCCATTGTGGAGAGGTTGGAGTCTGTTTGATTGAGTGTGTGGACAGGTGTCTTTTATACAGGTAACGAGTTCAAACAGGTGCAGTTAATACAGGTAATGAGTGGAGAACAGGAGGGCTTCTTAAAGAAAAACTAACAGGTCTGTGAGAGACGGAATTCTTACTGGTTGGTAGGTGATCAAATACTTATGTCATGCAATAAAATGCAAATGAATTACTTAAAAATCATACAATGTGATTTTCTGGATTTTTGTTTTAGATTCCGTCTCTCACAGTTGAAGTGTACCTATGATAAAAATGACAGACCTCTACATGCTTTGTAAGTAGGAAAACCTGCAAAATCGGCAGTGTATCAAATACTTGTTCTCCCCACTCTATATAATATAGGCCATTTAGCAGATGCTTTTATCCAACCTTGACCTCTAACCTCTCTCAACCCTGACCTTTAACCCCTAACCCCCAACCTCTCTCAACCTTGACCTCTAACCAATTCCCCCAACCTCTCTCAACCTTGACCTCTAACCAATTCCCCCAACCTCTCTCAACCTTGACCTCTAACCAATTCCCCCAACCTCTCTTAACCTTGACCGCTAAGCCCTGACCCCTAACCTATCTCTTCAGGGTAAAGGGGACATGGTAACCTATTGGTTGGAAGGGAAGCAGCCGCTCCAGCCCAGTAAGCCCCCTGGTGTGAAGGACCCCGTTAAGGACCCCAGCACTAAGTTGGCCAGCAGGAAGCCTGCATCCAGCATGTCTGTGCTGGACACGGACAGAGACAGAGAGATGGAGAGAAGAGAGAGAGACAGAGAGAGGTACGCCTCAATCCCCGGGCTCCTCAACCATGACCTGCTTCTGGACTCAGCCTGACCTCTGACCTCTAGCCCTTTCCACTGTCATGTACTCTTATAAATGAACATAAGAGATGGCAAATACAGTTCGAATACAGTCTGAATCCTCTCTATAGTGGAGCTGATATCTCAATCCTCTCTATAAAATCCACAGCTGGTGTCTGCTAACAGTTCCTATCCATGTTGGTGTATTTTTATCTATAGTGTCTGGTCTGACTATTCTGTCTACTGTAAATAGGGTTATCTATAGTGAGTCTGTGTGTTCTGACTATTCTATCTACTGTAAATAGGGTTATCTATAGTGAGTCTGTGTTCTGACTATTCTGTCTACTGTAAATAGGGTTATCTATAGTGAGTCTGTGTTCTGACTATTCTATCTACTGTAAATAGGGTTATCTATAGTGAGTCTGTGTGTTCTGACTATTCTATCTACTGTAAATAGGGTTATCTATAGTGTGTCTGTGTTCTGACTATTCTATCTACTGTAAATAGGGTTATCTATAGTGTGTCTGTGTGTTCTGACTATTCTATCTACTGTAAATAGGGTTATCTATAGTGAGTCTGTGTGTTCTGACTATTCTATCTACTGTAAATAGGGTTATCTATAGTGTGTCTGTGTGTTCTGACTATTCTATCTACTGTAAATAGGGTTATCTATAGTGTGTCTGTGTGTTCTGACTATTCTGTCTACTGTAAATAGGGTTATCTATAGTGAGTCTGTGTGTTCTGACTATTCTGTCTACTGTAAATAGGGTTATCTATAGTGTGTCTGTGTGTTCTGACTATTCTGTCTACTGTAAATAGGGTTATCTATAGTGTGTCTGTGTGTTCTGACTATTCTATCTACTGTAAATAGGGTTATCTATAGTGTGTCTGTGTGTTCTGACTATTCTATCTACTGTAAATAGGGTTATCTATAGTGTGTCTGTGTGTTCTGACTATTATATCTACTGTAAATGTGTCTTTATCCAATAAGACGTTCCATATCTAGACAGCTCTTTTTCAAAAGTATAATATTCATTTAGTGTAAACATTTAAAAGTATAAAGTATTCAATTAGTTATTCAATGGACAGATGATGCTGAATAAAAACCCTTATTATTGAATCAGTTTGACTGAGTTCTGTTCTCCTGAGTAATGGGGATCGGTTTCATTGTCTATCACACACACACACACACACACACACACACACACACACACACACACACACACACACACACACACACACACACACACACACACACACACACCCACACACCACACCCACATACATACACCCACACACCCACACACACAGAGAGAGAGAAACAAGATATCTAATGTACAGTGCCTTGCAAAAGTATTCATCCCCCTTGGCGTTTTTCCTATTTTGTTGCATTACAACCTGTAATTTAAATGGATTTTTATTTGGATTTCATGTAATGGACATACACAAAGTAGTCCAAATTGGTGAAGTGGAATTTAAAAATTAACTTTTTTCAAAAAATTCAAAAAAATAAATAACGGATAAGTGGTGTGTGCATATGTATTCACCCCCTTTGCTATGAAGCCCCTAAATAAGATCTGGTGCAACCAATTACCTTCAGAAGTCACACAATTAGTTAAATAAAGTCCACCTGTGTGCAATCTAAGTGTCACATGATCTCAGTATATATATATACACCTGTTCTGAAAGGCCCCAGAGTCCGCAACACCACTAAGCAAGGGGCACCACCAAGCAAGCGGCACCTTGAAGACCAAGGAGCTCTCCAAACAGGTCAGGGACAAAGTTGTGGAGAAGTACAGATCAGGGTTGGGTTATGAAAAAATATCTGAAACTTTGAACATCCCACGGAGCACCATTAAATCCATTACAAAAAAATGGAAAGAATATGGCACCACAACAAACCTGCCAAGAGAGGGCCGCCCACCAAAACTCACGGACCAGGCAAGGAGGGCATTACAGAGAGGCAACAAAGAGACCAAAGATAACCCTGAAGGAGCTGCAAAGCTCCACAGCGGAGATTGGAGTATCTGTCCATAGGACCACTTTAAGCCGTACACTCCACAGAGCTGTTATGCACGCTCAAGTTTTCTGTTTTTTTGTCTTATTTCTTGTTGTTTCACAAGAAAAAATATTTAGCATCTTCAAAGTGGTAGGCATGTTGTGTAAATCAAATGATACAAACCCCCAGAAAATCCATTTTAATTCCAGGTTGTAAGGCAACAAAATAGGAAAAATGCCAAGAGGGGGTGAATACTTTCGCAAGCCACTGTAGTTGTTAGTCCTAACTCTTCACATCGTCTCTACCCATCAGTGGAACTGCTTGACCATCTGCTGCAGAGGTAAACACACACACACACACACACACACACACACACACACACACACCTCAGGTCGTGCCTGAATTTCCCCACACCCATCTTCTCTCCCCCCTCTCCATCTCCCTCTATCCCCCTCTCCATCTACCCCCCTATGTTCCCCTATCTGCTTCCTCAGCATGGGAGGGCTTCTCCTAATGAGTGTCTGTCTGAAGGGCCTCTTGTCTCTCTTTCTGTCTGTTTTAGAATGAGCGCTGACGGCTGCAGCTGCAGAAAGCCTCCTGTGGTTCGGAACAGAACAGAAGACTAAATCCTGTCTGTCTGTCTGTCTTGTCTGTCTGTCTGTCTGTCTGTCTGTCTGTCTGTCTGTCTGACAGCACACCTGGGCCCCATATACACCACAACAATGCATGACTACTAGTCTACTCTACTAGTCTACTCTACTAGTCTACTCTACTAGCCTACTTACTAGTCTACTGTACTAGTCTACTATACTAGCCTACTATACTAGTCTACTATACTAGTCTACTATACTAGCCTACTCTACTAGTCTACTATACTAGCCTACTATACTAGTCTACTCTACTAGTCTACTCATACTAGTCTACTGTACTAGTCTACTCTACTAGTCTACTCTACTAGCCTACTAATAGTCTACTTACTAGTCTACTCTACTAGTCTACTCTACTAGTCTACTGTACTAGTCTACTCTACTAGTCTACTCTACTAGTCTACTATACTAGTCTACTCTACTAGCCTACTGTACTAGTCTACTCTACTAGTCTACTATACTAGTTACGTATACTAGCCTACTTACTAGTTACTTACTAGTCTACTTTCCCTTTTTTCCAGAAACTTTATGTCACTGAAGTCTACTCTCTATCTAAGTCTACTTACTAG